AGGACTGCACTATATAAAGGCTTCACCCCCCGGGGGTGCAAGGTACGCGTAATCTCTGCTCTCTAGCCCTCTTGCATTCTAAGCTATCATCAGCTCGCAACCAAGTACTAACTTAAGCATCGGAGCGACCTCGCCGGGTAAGCAACCCCGGGTTTTCTGATTCGCTTTTTGCAGATCAACTAATCTGTTGTCTACTGGAAGCCAAATCACCTCCAGCTAGGAGCAGCCGGATTGCGCTACATCATTTGGCGTTGTCTGTGGGAATCGGTACAAGAAGCCTTWTTCCTCGAAAAGCATCCATGGCATCCTCTAGTAACGCCAGAAAGAATGCTGAAATGAACGTCTCGGGGGGGCAACCTCAGGTCCCAGCTATGTGCATTGGACAGTTCACTGTGCCTCTCTCTATAGATGGGATTCCAACACTGAACGTGCCTCGGGTCATAGCACCTGTGAAGCCCCACTTCCTCCTACGGTGGGTGCAACCTTTGCTGAACCCTCTGTAATTCCCCCTGCAGTTGGGCAGAATCAGCTTGATGACCCGGTACACTGCGTGTGGACTATTCAGGTCCAAATGCAACAGGTCCAACAATTCCAACAGTACCAACAGCAGGTCCTGCATCACTTCTACCAGCAACAATATCAGCAACAGTTCCCTCCACTACARCAGAATCAACAGTCGGTTCCACCTCGGAATTTGGCCCCACAGCAAAGCAGATCCCGTCATCAGAACACTCGCCCTCCTCGCCGAGGACATACTTCCCAGGTCCCACTTCCCCTTGGGAGCCAAGTCTCGTCTCGTGGCAAGAAGGACAGACAGATTACTCCTCCTACTTCAGAGAATGTCAACAGATCGGGAGACACTCAACCTGCCAGGGCCGTTTCACCTAGGCCATCACGTCAGGAAGGTCCGTTTGGGGAATCAGTTCAGAGTTTTGGCCGCAGACTCCAGGCGAGGCCCCTCCGTCCATAACAGACAGCACCAGCAGTTCAAACTGCCCCGTGTCCTCATCGCACTCGATCACACCGAAGTTAGCAGCACAAATGCTAAACCAGTCAAGAAGCAGCAGAAGTGGCATCGTAAGGCTCGCCGAGCTACAGTTCCAAGCCAGCTCGCTGGACCAAGTCAGCCCGAGCAGCCAAAAGACAAAGAAGAGTCGAGCTCAAGAACCGCGAAGACCGCTCCCCTCCTCTCTGTGCCATCTCCTTTGTCCTCCGAGCTCCTAGCTACCCCGATGCCGAAGAACTTCAAAGTACCTCCGCTGGACAAGTACGACGGGTCATTCGACCCGAATGATCATGTAGACTCCTTCCAGTCCCAGATGCACCTAGATGGGGCTGGCGAATCATGCATGTGCATTGCCTTTTCTACGACCTTCAAAGGAGTCGCTCGTACGTGGTACTGGAACCTCGCCCCCGGGACGATCAAGAGTTGGGCATAGTTCGTGTAAATGTTCACCTCGCACTTCATCACTAGTAAGAAGTGCCCGAGGTCATAGGAAAGCCTCCTCAGCATAGCCCAAAGAGAAGGAGAGTCGATTTGAAGCTACATCAAACGCTTCAACGACACTTGTCTACAGATTCCTGATCTGGATCCCGCTGTAAGACTCACGACAGCAAAGAGAGGCATCACTCATAGAGAGTTCAAGTGGCACGTGGTAGCCAACAAGCCCAAAGATATCACTAAGTTTCTCAAGCTCGTTGATCAGTTCATCGGAACAGAAGAAATGAACCAGAAAAGTGAGAATCCAGCGGAGAAGAGGAAACGAGAAGGTGACACCTCGAACAGCGGGGACAACAAAYGAATAAAGAGCAAGTCACCAACCAGGGGAGGGAACAAGTCAGATCAGCGTTCCTGAACTCCTCCGGTTGAAAAGACGAACTACACGCCCCTTAACGCGAAGTGGGGAGAGATTCTCATGGCGATCAAGGACACCTCTTATGTGAAGAGGCCACCCCGGTTAAGAGAAGATCCTAACACAAGAAATAAAAATGTATACTGTCATTTCCATAGAGATCACGGTCACAGTACCGAAAATTGTAGAAACCTCTGCGACGAGATTGAAGAACTCATCCGTCATGGATACCTGAAAAATTTTGTACAGAAAGATAATAAAAGTCAAACAGATCGACAGGGGGAGCAAAGAAGAGATGCTCCTGAGTCCAGCAACAGACAGAGTGAGTAGCTGCAAAGACAGCTGCCCGAAGAGAGACCGATTCGCGGCGTAATCCATATGATTACTGGTGGGTCTATTGCCGCGGGTTGCACCTCAGTAGCGGGGAAGACCTCGGTTCGTGAACTAGAACGAGAAGAACAGAATCCTCCAAAGTGACCAAGGCTCGAAGATCCTATATTCTTCACCGGAAACGACGCATGCAGGATTTAATACCCCCATGATGACGCGCTAGTCATAAAGATGAGGATCAATGATTTCGAAGTTAAGCGCGTTCTAGTGGATTCAGGGAGCTCGACTGATATCTTATTCAAGGACGCCTTTGACAAGCTCCAGCTCCAAGAAAGCGACATCAAGCCCATGAATACTCCTCTGGTAGGCTTCAGTGGAGAAGAAGTCAGGCCCCTAGGGCGAATTTCAATACCTGTGGAGATCGGCACGTGGCCTAATATCACAAAATTCAAGCATACTTTCCTAGTGGTCATGACTCCCTCCCCGTACAATGCCATTGTAGGTCGGCCCATCACCCACACACTTTGCGTAGTGGTGTCCACCTACTATTTGGCTATGAAGTTCCCCACGAACTTCAGAGTAGGGGTAGCGCAAGGCGACCGGCTTGAGTCTCACAAATACTACGTCGCCACCTTCAAAGGAAAAGCCAAGGTAGCGGATGACCTCGAACTAGAGCGACCTACGGAGTACACCGAGGAGCGAGCTACGCCGACAGAAGAGACAATCCACGTACCTGTTTCAACAGAAGATCCAGCTAGGACTCTCCAGATCGGTGCATCGGTCGAGGAACCTTTTCGTTCTCAGCTGGTAAGTTTTTTAATTAAGAATTTAGATATATTTGCATGGTCTGCGGCAAAGATGCC